GGTACAAGTACAGCTTAAGAGACATGTGAATGATAGAGTTGGTTCTTGTTGTATTTGCTTTATCTTTGCGTTTAGTACTTTGCTTTAAAAAGTATAGCTTTTTCAATAATTAGCCCACATTTCAACAAACAACATTTTTTCTGTACAACAGAAAAATCTAAGTATAACCCCAGTAAACTTTGGTTTTAGTTTATTTATTAGTTGTATTAATGAAAAATGAATGAATTTGCGAGTCTTGAATGTTGATGATTAGAATGAAGATATGAGAAATATGATACTAAAATGATTTGGCTGGATGCTCCTTGGACAACTTCAAAGCAAATAATTTGAGTTATGTGGAAAAGAACAGTGATTTAATTCCATCCATTCGTCAACCTGGGTTTACCTAACAAAATGCATTTTTTGAGGAGGCAAAAACCTTTGAGCTTTCTCTATTGTGACCTGTAGGAAAAATGAGCCAAATTTTACTTTTCACTTCTAAACACCAACATCTTTGATTTGAGGGGATTGATGTTTTGGGAATAGGTTAGTTGAATTATTACCAGGTTTTGACTCATAAGGCCATTATGGACAAACGGAAGCACTTATATGGAAAGCCAAGAATTTATTGTTAGTTTAATCAAAGAACTATTGTTATTCCAGTTTCAATAGTTTAAAATTATATGCAGTTAAAAGGATAGATACACAAACTTTCTAATATCCACCCCTTTTTTTCCCACGGCACCTCTGGGTCCTAAGGTTGGTGGCAGCTGTTGTGACTAGGGTGGGAGTGCAGTGAGTCATCAGCACCCTTTACCGGGAGGAGCACAGTGCTGATACTGGTGCTTTCTTCCTCCTCCATATAGGATCCATCTTGGGTTGTTCTTATCTGTTTGCTAGCATGCTTCGTGGCTTGCGCTTCTTTTGTTGCGCTGTAACTCCACATTACATGCAAAGGTGCTGTACATGTGCTGATACTGGTTCTTTGTTCTCTTTTTACCCCTAAGACTGGCTTTACCCACAGCTGCCAAGGTTGCGTTCATTTGATGGCCAGTCATAGGCCACCAGACAAGTTGCTTCTAGCCCTTGTGCCTCCAGGGTTGTTCAGGGCCTCTGCCTTCATCTCGTGCCTGTATTCCTCTCTGCTGCGTTTTATTGTAGGGTCACAGGCAGTCCACTCTGCATGGAATAATTATTCGTTATTACTGTTTATTAGTTGCAAAAATATATTTAATAGGCATTACACAACACAGTTGTACAAAGCTAAGCCAAAAGTAAAGCAAAGCGTGTAGCAGTTACCTGGACATCAGATAATTTCTGTTAGGAGCTAAATCAAGTCTGCAGGCAGGGGAAGACAAGACCTTCAGGCCTGTGGTATCAGTTGAACAGTAAGCCTGTGGCCTGTCACAAGGAACAGCAGCACTTTATTTCTTTGTCTCCAAGGCCTGTAGGGGATTGGTGTTTATATACTCCTTCACTTGCCACATGGCATTTCTCCCACCTTCTCCGGGGAGAAGATTAGCACAGATACCAGGCAGGCATCACGGTAGCACAGAGGTCTGAGGGGCTGGACAGAGTTTTAATCCAGTTAATCCTGACAGAGTCAGTAGGAGAAGGGAGAGAGGATGTGGCGAGTGCCCTTTGAGAGAGAGGAAGGAGAAAACCCCAAAGAACCTAAGAAAAGCAAAATGTGGGAGATCTGAGAAGCATAGTTTGTGATGAAGCAGCAATGAAGGGAAGGAAATAAGTAGGGAAAAAAGATCAGAGAAGTAAATGCAATTTCCCCAGTTGCAGACCTCGAGAAGTCACGAGCCAAACACTAAAAAGAATATCATTTATTAAGTGCACTCCCAAGTTTCTGAGCCTTTAGGCAAGGTTTGGGAAATATTTTCAAACCTTCTTTCGCAATTGTAAGGACCAGAATATTAGCTTTAATTTTTTTATTACTTTTTTTTTTAATGAAAGCTGAGATTGTATCTAAATCATAGAATTTTAAGACCATGGACTTTAAGAATAAGGACTAAATAATCCAAGACTTAAAAATTATGCATGTTGGCAACACTACTGCCTTGCTTTCACAAAGCGATTAGCTGATAGGGAGGGGATATGAGAAATGTGAACGTTTCTTATCGTTTCACCCTTGAAAACTGTCTCCTAGTGCATGCGGCCATCTGTATATCTCCTTCTGCATTTCAGATCTTCTTATCTGAATAACTTCAGCAAGTAACTTAGATACTCCAGCACGTTACTGACTTCATGAGTTCAAGGGTTCTGGGAATTAATGGAGACAGTAAAGATAATAGGTGAAATGTTATGTGATTAGTGACATTCAGAAAGATGATAGTATCTATTTCCATTTTGTGACAAAGGCTATAGATAGCTTTTCATTTATTTTTTCTTTCTGAAGTGAGTTTGTATCTCTGAAAACATTCTAGAAAACAACTTTAAAAGATGCAAATGCCTGGAAAGGAGACTTTAATTTACCAAGAAGGAAACCAGTTTTGTGGTGAGCAGCCTTAGTGCTGTCTGTCCAGTGACTGCACTGCCAGATTTGTGTGAAGAGCCTTACAGAAAAGCCATACAGCATCTAGATTTAGTCACTGCTGTCATATTTCTATATTTAATCAAGAGTTATTATAGAAATACTCCTTTTAAAGTAATACCAGTGTCACATGAGGATTATCTCAGAGGACTGTTTGTATCTCTTATGGTTATGACCTAAATTATCTATATTTAGAGCACATCACAGATCTTAATACCTGTGACTTCACAGTTTCTACTGTGAACCTCAAGGTTTAGTCAATCATGAATGCATGCAAGTAGCAATATAAGCTTCTTTATTGTGGCCTTTTAGACCGGTGCAATATTTTTCCATAGTAAAATGCTCCCGTTCTTTAAGCTGGTTACACATCAGAGGGAGAATAAAGACAAAACTGTTTGCCATGGTCTTAGTCTATGCATGCTCACTAGTTATCCTTGGTTTGTATTATTCTGGTAAGAATTTGTTATGTTAGTAATTTTGTATTTTTAAAGAAGAGACTTATCTTTTCTTCCTTGGAAGATGTATTATTGAGGATTTCTGTCTCACCAACTTCCCCTTTGAGGGGTTCTTCAATGCGATGTTCTTTGCCCTTGAAGTTGTATATGTGATTTCTTAATTACCCTTTGTGATGCTTAATCATTTTTTTGTCCAGGACTAATGTCAAATGGAAGGTAATTTATGATTATTGCATTAAAGTGATGGCCTTCGCAATTGATATGTTTTAGCATATTAGTTGCAAAGGTTACTAATGGAAATAGTAAAATTGAATGGAGGACAGTAACCCTGCTAAATTGGAATTGATTATATAGTCATATACTTGGATAGCTAATTGTAAATCAAGAATCTTGTATTAAATGCAAGATTGTTACTGGTGAATTAATGCAATGAAAAAAAGAGACTTTTCTGTTTTGAGCACTCTCATTTGATTATCACAACTTCATAAAACACATTTTTATTTTAAATTAACAATAGATATGATTTCAAAGCAGCTGGTGTATCACACTTTGAAAACAGTCAATGAGTTACTTATGTTCTTCTGTCATGATAGTACCTTAGAGGATACTTTACTATTGATTTTTACCCTATAGATTATTGTATCTTAATGAGTTGTACTTCCAGTTTTCTTGGAACTTTCTTAGGGATATTGAAATTGTCTGCCAGGATATGTCAGATGCAAAATTGAGCGTCTGATTCCTTACAGGTTTGGGTGAAACTACTTAAAGAATTAAAATTATGTTTGGTTTTGTCCCCCCCCCCGCCCCCAAAAGACAGAGAAGATTAACTATCTCTGAAATAGAATAACTTCTGAAAAGTGATTGTTATTATTTATTCTTATTCTTATGTAACTTAAGTAAAACTATTCTTATACTTTTCTAAAAGTCATTTGCTAATAAAAACCCATGACTCCCTAATACAAATCAATTTTTAAGCATCAGTTTTCAGTAGCAGCCTTTCCCATGCCAAACCATGGTTGGAGAGCAGCATCTCTGCTAACAGTTCTAGTGGAAATACCTGCTTAGTCTTAACCCTAAACAGTCTTATTGATTAAGATCCTGTACAGTATTTTCTCAAATAATTAAATAACGCACAAACTGTCTGTTCAATTTTGTATTTATCTGAGTTATACAAGAGGGTGAGAAGAGGAGTTTTGTGCCCAGTGTGGAGGCTTGAAGCCTCCCCAGAGGCTGAGCAGGCTGCAGCCTCCGGGAGCCCCTGCTGCGGGGACGCATTTGCAGAGCAGCACCAGCTGACAGACGTGCCACCCTGTCCCTTCGGGCAGGAGCTGGCTGTGCTCTAAGGATCTGGGCTCCCTCCCTTTGTCTCTGTAAGGGGATCATTTTCTTACAGGAAACTTATGCAACTTATCCACCTTGCCATTTCACAATAAATGAGCCCCATTAAGTTCAATAAGATTTTTATAACCTGCATTTTGGTCAAGAAAAATACAGTGTTTCCTCAGTTGTTATTACAGTTCATACTTGCATTTTTCACTTGAGTAATTTGTTGTCATGGTTTGCTGTGCCATTCAGTCTTCCTTGGACGTATGTGTGGAACATGGCCATGCTTCAATATACTTTAATAAGAATGTTTTGTCAGGTATTACCTTGCTGAAAGGGTGGTGTAAAACCAAGACTGATCCTGCTCATTTTAACTTGCCAGGGAATCACATTAACTTTCGTTCCCCTGCAAAGGTAGCAAGGAGGGTTCAGAAAGGTTGTTTAACATTGGCAGGATGTTCTAACACTGCAACCACGAAACTTAGCTCAAAAACTACTATTAGTTTCCATCCTCTCTGAAACCAGGGAGCTGGGAAGGAGCAGGAGTATGATACTGAACGGGAGGAGGCAGTCAGTGAGATTTCTGAGGAACAGGACTGCCAGAGGCAAAGAGAGCAGCTGGGTTGGAAAGGCTGAAGCTGGGCTGGGCAGTGGAGGGGGCTCACGTCCTTTCCCCACACAACCTGGCAGCCAGGGGAGCAATGGAGGTTTTGGCTGCTGCTTTGCCGTCGGAGGAATGGGGTCAGGACAGTGAAATCCAGGAGCCTGTTGGGAACTTCTCTAAGCTGCAAAAAGGTGAGGGCCAAGAGGATGCATGTAGTTAAAGCTGGAGAGCTCTTGGATGTCCTGTGGTGTGAAGGGCTACACTGTTCATTTTGAGGACGGGAACTGGTGAAGTGCATAGGAGTGGCAGATCGTCGCTGAACGGGTATATCTTCATTGCTATCTTCATTTATGTCTTCTGTCTGGGAGCACAGTTACCCTGTGTGCAAGTTGCCTGTAAAGGTGAACAGAAAAATCACACATCTTCTCTAGAATATGTTAAAACAAAAAAAAGGTATGTAAGTCACAGTTTTCTTACCATAATGTCAAGATATTGTCATATTGTCTGTTCAAAGAAGACCGTTTAGCCTGCACCTCAAAGACTCCAGTTACTTGTGGATGTTCTGACTTTCCTCTGTATGCAAAGGAATGGGTAGTGATTTCTAAGACTTGGAAGATTTTAGACCTTTCCTTCATATGCATTTCCCATCTACAGAAATGCCAGGTCTGGTTTAACATGGGAGTTTACTTTCCTGGCCTTTTGGCCTTTTTCTATTCTTGGGACTGGGTACAAGTTTTATTGTAATGAACTGAATTGTTTCTTCTTTAAAGTCAGGTATTGATAGCTTGGACTTCATTCACCCAGTGACGTATGTGTAAGATGAAGAAAGAAAAAAAATCAACACACCTGTGCCAGTGTGATCTAATAGAAGAGTTCCTTTATCATTTGAAATAAAAGAACAAGAAAGGTCAAATATTCAGAACACTTGAAACAGCTCATGAAATGCTGACGGGAGAGAAATGACAAGGCCAGGGGGTCTAGTGGTTTGTGAGGTTATGGGATGTGAAAGCCAGTCAGCTATCATTACCCTTTGGTTGACCACTTTGATATGGTGAACAAAAAGGTTAAAGGTTTCTTGTTGTTTGCTCCTTCCCTCTGCCTTCTGGGAACAGTGGCGTCCCTTTTCTTGGCTTGATCAGCAGTAATTTCCTGACCTTGTGAGGCATTTTCCCAGGAATTAAAGTCCCCTCCCTCTCTTCCCTCCCGTCCTGCATCCCATGGGATGGTGCTTCTCTTAGCAGTTTGACTAAATATCCCTCTCTGAGAAGAAGGATGTGTCTTCCAAGGTCTTTTCACTGGGGTGGCAGGATTTTCTCTTTCTAGAGAGGAAGTGATATTTATGATGGAGGATCTGCCAGGTGCTTGTGTCTGCTATGCTTTTAAAGGCTCTAAGCTTTTCCTAAGCCTCTCAAGGGTTACTGGGTCAGCTACGGCTTCTGCTTCCTGAGGAATTCATTGGTTGGTTTCAATGTTAATGATTCAAATCTGCTATAATGTATTAAGCCAGTGAAAGGCAGGGTGCTCTTTACTGCTTGCTTGTAACATAAGGCAGAAAAACACTCTCACAGGTTGCTTAAAAGAACACAGCTTTTTCACAGAATGTCTTGATATTACCTTTTGTCGTATTTAATACTTAACTAGATTTGTATTTAGGATAATAAATGTAGTTTGTAGACCCCGGATCCTTTTTCATACTGAATTTCTCTTTGTTGAGGTTGTCATGTTACTGTACTACCATCAAAACAAAGGAGTTCTCCAGCATACGGATTAAACGCTCTTTTTCTGTGACTTTGACTTTTGATTGCAAAGTGAGGTTGACATTTGTGCCTTAGTTGCACTGTTTACGCTTTTTTCACTTTTACCTGCTCACCTGTCATCACAAAACTTAAGAGAACTTACTGTGTATAGACTTCTACTTCCTCTATCAAATTTGTGTGAAAGACTGGAAACTTACAGGGTGTAGAGGTCATGGTGTGTGGGATGGCTGCACAGGCAAGCACCAGAGCACAGTCACACGCAGCCTCCAAGTATAATGCCGTGAGCCTCATTCCCTTGGGCACCCAGTGTAAAAGTCTCAGAAACACTTTTCCTTTGGTCTGCTGGTTTCCCATAATGCCAGTGTTTCTAAATGTCAGAAGCAAGGAAAAATACAGTCTTGATACAAAGACCAATATAAAACCAATATCTTCTTAGTCTTTCTGAATTCAGAAATGGCTAATTTGATCCTGTGCAGGAAAAAAAAAAAGAAAAAAAAGTGTGAGTAAATAGTGCTGGTGCTGGTAAAACAGAAAGGGTTGGGCTTTGGGGGATTTATGGGAACATTGAGTTACACGGGGAGAACACATTATACCAAGCTGGACTGCAAAAAAGGGGGAATAAAATTGTTACTTCCAACTTGAACTCTTTTGCCTTTGACTTGTTACATAAAATGAGAATAAATAAAAAGAATCAATTTACAGTTGTAACTGATGAGAAAAGTTACATGGTGTTTGTTTTGTACCTTCAATCGCGAAAATGCAAACAACTGGAATAGATAGGATTTATACTGGAAATTTATTTTTTTATTAGTTTTATACAACAAAAAACCCCAAATCGACACATAGGGTGGCAGACTTGCTGCCTGACCACCAACTCCTTCTGGCCCTGGGACAATAGCCAGGGCCAGTCCTGCCATTCAGGGCTGTGCTTTCCGGGATTCATGCCCACCTGACTGCCATGCTGCGGTTGGGGAGGTTGAGGGGCATGACAAAAACATCTAACTGAGGCCAGGCCACTGCCCATCAAAATGCCTCAGCTGCTTTGGTAGCTGCATTTCATTGTGACACAGAGTTTTTTAAGATTCTGGTCACTTACCAGATTTTTCTTCTTCTCTGTGACCCCTGGGTCTAACACATACACGTTTTAGCAAGAAGGTCTGCCAAGCTACGTAAAGCAGGCAGATAGTGAATGTTTTGCACTTTGGATATGCTTATGACCTTCCTTTAATGCTTGGCACAACAGTTGAAGGTGATGGGGGGGAAGTACAGAGGGAAAAGGAAGAGGGGGAATGAATTTTAAAAGCAATAGATTCTATCCTTACTGTACTGGCTGCTGTGCTTTTGCCGGTTGGGGAGAGCTCTGTAGTAATCACATCAGAGGTAAAGCTAAAGGCCAGATCTACTGCTACTTCTATGAATTTCCTCCATGAGCAGTGCTGTGATGCAGGGTGATACTAGCTTACGTGCTGGGGCTGCTTCCAGTAGCCCAGCGAGCTCGGTCAGCTGCTGCTCAAAGACAAGTGACAGAACAGCGTCCCATAAATTTATCTCCTAACACTCTCTTTCACAGCTTAAGCTGTCTCTCTTCTCTCTTCTTTGCCTTTTTATTTATTTATTTTTCCTCTGTGACAGTTTTATCAGTCCTCAGGGTGTTTTAAATGTCACATTTCTGGGGGGCGTGGTGGTGTAAAAAGCTTTGGATCAGCAAGTTCTAACACTTCCCTGCCTGGCCCCTGGACACCAAGTCATGGTTACCTGACGCTCCTATATTAGCTTCCCTGCTGCAGATTATCCTGAAACAAAATGCTCTCTGGAGTACTACCTTGTTCACATCTCTTGTCCTTTTCCCTGCTCATTTCTTGGGAGTCTGGGTGTTGAAATCACTGCACTGTCTGGTGGCTTTAGGATTGGGACCAGCCTGGGAATAGCAGATACCTGATGCTTTTCTCTCTGTGTCTTAGGTTTTGTGGGTTGAATCTTGGGGCAGGGCTGAATACTAACGTTAACTTCTTGGTAATGTCCTTTGGGTTCAGCAATCCAGGATGTCCTTTGGGTTCAGCAATCCAGGATGTTTGGCTATTTTTCTGGCTCTTCTGAGTTTCCATCTCTTGACATACTTCCCACTCTGTTTCTGTCTTTTTGTGACCTTTCTGCTCAGTTACACCTGCCACCATCGTGGTTGGCTTCATCATGCCTACAAACATGGGCAGTCTCCTTATTGTGAGGGATCAAGGAGGGCTTTATGGGCCACTTTTCCACACTTTCTGTGTCTCAATAAGTTGCTACCTGACCTGACCTACTACAGAGTGACATTCTCTCTCTGCGGGTTGCTCCCTGCGTGTCCCTGGAGGGGACTGTCTCTTTTCCTCACAGGGTCAGGGATCTTGGCCTGTGCTTCCCACCAAGGCATGTATCCTCCCACACCCGTGAGCCTGTGTGTCAGCCTCCCACGCGAGGCAGAGTGCTGTCCTTTACCTACAACCAACCTCAGTGCTGAAGCTTAATGTGCTACTTCTCAATAGCAACAGATGCCCAAGTGCTTCTACATTTTCTTCCCTTCCTTTCTTTGCTGTTTTCCCAGATGTTCCCATAAACTGTAACTGGATCTCCAAGTTACCTTCTTAGAGTTTTATTTGCCCAAAACTTAGTCAGTGGTACTCTGGGACTATTCCAGCACAGGCAGTACTTTCTGGTGTAAACTGTACTGGTGTGAACTATGTCCTCTGGAGACATGTTTAAATACAACTAGAGCCTTTTGTTTGACTACTGAAGCAGGACACCACTATTTCTCTCTACTCAGTTTCATACAGTGGACAAACCTTTTATATATTAAAGAAAAGTGTTAGTAGTAAATACTTTTTTATATCTGGGAAACAGCTTAGTGCCATTTGGGGCATCCAGAACCCTTGCATAAGATCCCTTCTTTTCCGTATCTTGTCTCCAAGCTGTCATACCACCTAGAAGTTAAGTCTCTCTGTCAATAAAGTCACTTATAGCATCTTTTGATCTGGGTTGTCTAAAGTGATGAACAATATCCAGGCGTTTGGCCTGTGTGCTGTCTCACTCCTCCCCAGAAGATAATGTACGACATTCACTAACTGAGATACCTGGGTTGCAGCTCCTTCCATCTCTCCTGGGTTTCTATTCTAGAGCTGCAGCCTCTGCATACTGTCATGGTCTGAACTGTGCAGTGGTTGCAGCAAATAGGCCATGGTCAGCTCTCCATGTAGGAGCAATCTGCCTGCACACAAGGGCTTGCCTCTCCTTACTGGTGACTCGGTTCTTTTGCCATGGTCCTGTCTTGTCCCTCTTACCACAGTGTCAGGAAAAAAACAAAAAAATTTCTTGCTGAAATCTGAGCCTGAAATCAGCTCAAAATTCCCTAAACTACTTAAAATTAGAACAACGAACTTCATGAAATTGAGAAAACTCGA